ATGAAATTTAAAAAGAATTAGAGACATTAACTAATAATGATAATGATAAATAGAAGTAGGCCTGAAGGGAGACCTTGTTATCAGACCTTGAAAACATATGACTGCAGGCTTACTTTCTATGTGGTTATTTTTGCTTATGCGCTATTATAAGAACCAAATTATCCCTTATTTTAAACAAATTATATTGTCAATATTTCAAGTGTATTTAGTTTTATATATTTTAAGCTACTTAATTAAAATTGCTGCTACATTTAATTTTGTTGGGTTTCTTTTATGATGGGATAATTGGGCAAATATAACAATGATATGAAAGAATAAATATTTACACCATTTTTGCTTTGACCGAAAGTTGTGTGGTCTTAAAATAGTTCTTGTAGTCTAAAGACCCATATATTGCTACTATCTCCACTGTCTTCTTTTCTCCTCTAAGTTATTCCCTGATGTCTTTCTGATTTTCTCTGGTCACTTTGTTTACAGAAATCTGCTCTGCTAATCTGCTATGACAGGCCAGGAAGGAGAGGGAGAAGAAAGAGAACAGAAATGCTTTAGCTCAACCTTCAAATATGTGAGACTGAAAGAAATTCAGGCATCAGTCAGGAAGCATTTGATCTTTTACTTAAATGTATTTCATAGGAGGAATAGTGCTGTGAAAGATTATGGGTTTATGCAAGCATTTCCATGATTACAGCCTATGGATTATGGATTAGAATTTCTCATGGTGGAGTCAATAGAATTAATTTATTTAATTCTTCTGAGGTCTGAACTTGAAACTATTGCTGAAGATGGAAAATATGTATAAACTTTCCAATAGAAACAAGAATTTAAAAAGGTCAAATGCAGAGGATAAACTTTACGAGCATACCTGTTTCTTCATGTCATGTACCTGCCTGTTCTGTACTAGAGGTGGAAGATAAGAGTTGAAGTGAGGGAGAGATGATGCAGGGCTTTTTCTGGATCAGTAAAAAAAGGCTTTGACAACAAATGGCTTAATAAGATAACTCCGCTAATTAGAAAAAGTAAGAAGAGTAATATAGTTAGAAATGAAACCTGATATGTGACTGGGGCACCCTGAGTTTGTGCAACACGAGACATAACTTGGATGGATTTTCCTATTGCACATTGTGCAGAGCCGATCCTGTCTGTGCAGAGAAGCTCTCCCTTTCAGTACTGGGAGATATTCCATTTTTTCATTGCAAGAAAACAGCACTATTACTAAGGGATTATGTAATGAGCACTCCTTGCTGCACTTGTAGTTAAAGGTGAGGCCAGGCAGGTGGTGAAATCACTGGTACCCAGTGGGAGTTGCCCGTGGGCTCCTCTGTTCCAGTGAACTTGCTGAGTTTATCCTGCAGCCAAGAACTTTGTGCAGCACAGAACAGCCCTGAAAGCTGCCCTGTATATTCAGCACAGCCCTCTGCCTACTCAGGTGAACTGTTGTGTGGATCACTAGCTCCTAAACATGGAATGCTGTCCTGGTCTGGACCAATACACTACCTAGGAGGAGCATGCATAGTTTCTGTAAGAGCTCTTTGTTGATGCCTTCTGTAGGCTGACCTAGAACAGAGGCTAGACAGAGTTAAAGAATAAAGTAGGTCATTATTAAAAGGCCTCAATAGATACACCTTGGGCGGTACAAGAGCCCAGCCAGGGCTACACTCAAGATGGACCCAAAATGATCACAAAATATGTGACTGGTCATGAAGTCTCTATTTTTATAAAGTTGAGGTCCATCTGCATATTGGAGTTAATTGTTCAGCTATAGCTTTAGGTTATGAAGTTCCATCCTCCTTGTTTTTCTCTCTTCAATTCACTGTTCTTTATACTTTTTGGTCTTGGAGCTTGTAACAGTTGTTCCTGGACAAGCTGAAAATGATTGTGTCTACGGACTCTGTGAAGAGAACTTGCTAACACCTTCTATAAAGCTCAGAGTTGCACACTAAAGCAGCACAGAATCTGAAAAATATAAGAGGCTAAAACTTAAGCAAATCCTCATTCCTTCATGTTTACTTTGATGGGTAAATTTATGTTTTTAAAACTTTAAAAATACTCTTACTTCTAATGAGGGGCTGTTGTATAAAACAGTGTTGTCTAAGGAAAAAGAGGAAGAATAGATAGATTGTCTAAAATAAATACAAATTCTCAAATTTAATCTTATAATCTAACACCTTGTAAAGTAATTTTTGATTAATAAACTAACCATCTAGCAAATAAACAAAAATAATTTTCAGAGTATAATAGAGGTGCTTCTGTGTGTGCATTCTAGCAAGGATGTTTTCTGTTTCAGAAATGAAATTTCCATTTCAGCCAGAAATGAACCACTGGTTGGAAGAAAGTAATCCTTCTCTTATCTGCTAAGGAGTAGAGTAGATGCACCCTTCCTTAGCTCCTCCTGGTTTGTATAACATGGTATATATTTCACAGCACATCCTATCACAAGACCCTGGACATTATGCCCTTGTGTGACCAAGTACAGTACTTTCTTGTTGATTAGTGGGGAAAAAAAGACAAGCAAAATAAAATCTATTCTCATGTTTTTTCCTTGAAAAATTAGTCGGATACCACAGCAATGAGACTTCAGCTGCCCTTGTTGACATCGGCTCAGGTATTTGTGAAGATTTCTAACTCCAAGCTTGTATATGTGATTGCATATATTTTTTATTTGACTTATGAAAATTTTTCTATTTAAGACTGACTTTTTCTGTCTCCCTGTGATATCAATTTGCTCTACTTTTTACAGGCTAGTAATGCATATCTGTATATTAATTGTATTATTACATCAGAGGCTCGGCTAACACAGAGATTTCTGTTTCAAATGCAGTCTTGTCAGCATGATTTGTGGTAGAGCTAATAAAAAGTGACCACTGTAAAACACTTATCTCTGTTTCTAGGCATAAAAATTTACACTTTTGAAAGCAAACCCTTGATTGTATCTCTCCACTGCTTACACACTAACAGTGCACCTTACTTTCTGGAAGTTAAGTTAATTTAGTAAGTATTTCAGCAGTAAACACATTAGAAATTTTTGTTGCATTTTTAAAATAGCACAACAAATCCTAAAAGTCTTTATGTGCAGGAAGGGAATTATAATATCAGTTAAAATAATAAAAGAGAATCAAGCTTACATATGAAAATATAAGGCTTTTTTCATATGAGGCATATAAGGCAATTTTCACATATGATTAGGTTCAATTTGGGCCTGTCTGTCTGACATCTATTTTGGAACTAATTATTTTGTTGCTGTCTTAAAATAATTGGTAAAACATATGGGATAATTAGTATTGTATTTTTCTTTCTTTCCTGCTGTTTAAAATTAATATTTTTAAAATGCTAAATGGAAAGAACAGGGTTCAATATCTCTGTTTCAATGTATTCTCTATTTATCTTCTCTCTAAATAGCTATTCTTCAGTCCTACTGTACAATAAACAATGCTCTTAAACAATGTGAAACAGAATTTAAAAATTGAAGGAATAGTGCAGGCTGCCCTGAGAGGTGGTAGGTGCTCCAACCCTGGAAACACTGGAGGTCAGATGGGATGGGGTTCTGGGCAATATTTCCAGTTGAAGATGTCCCTGCTCATGGCAGCAGTGTTGGACTAGGTGACCTTTAAAAGGTCACTTTCAGCCCAAACCATTCTGTGATTCCATGAAAAATTATATCTGTTGCATTGTCACTGGTTTCTTATAAGCTTCTAGGCTGCAATTAGATCCTCAAGCTATTCTCAAGCTGTTTCATCCACGTTCTAACCAGTAAATGCTACACTGAACTTACCACATCAGGATAGCACTACTCTCATGGAGTTCAAGCTGGAGATCATAAGGAAGTGTAGATTTTGGACACGTACAGGGGTGCAGGCAGAGCTAAGCTAAACCAAGAGGACCATGGAGGCTGCGCAACTTAGAAGTTTGTGCTTGTGCTGTATTCCTTTTATGGTATCAAGTACTGTTTATTTCCCAAATACCAGTGGGGCTTAGGTGACACAATATGCAAATAGTGAAGGGGGGGGGGGCTCGCCTGGGTAAGTGATATTTCCTCTGAAAAACAGGTTGTATTTTTCTAACAGAGGAGACTGGTGTTTTAATTTCCCATGATGGTCACGTAGGTTTCATCAATCCTGTTTTCCAGTGTGTTGCATTGCCTCAGGCGACTCAATTGGTTTTAAGAGAGTCACTGTCAGCAGAGTGACACTTTCTGCAGTGTTGTTGGTTGCTGTGCCCATACACCACGGACACATGCACGTCTCCTGATAGCTTTTCCTCAAGTACACACCTCCTGCTTGTTCTAGGTTGGTATCCAGTCCTTTTGTAATTGCTCCTCATCTGTATATGTTTCACAAATAAAACATCTCCTTATGCATTGCCCTTTACATATTCCAATTTCTAAACACCTCCCAGTAAACAAGAATACAAAATGTTAGCATTCAAAATAATGTAACTAATATCACAAGTGTATTGAGAGTGATTGTATAGGAACATTTGGTGTCAGACTTTGCATCAGTAAGCAGAGTATTGAACGTGGAATTGCCAGGCATAAAATCTTTATCCTGGATAATTTGTAAATAACAATATGCAGCACTACTGCAATCTAAGGAACTTATTTACTCCTTTGTGGTGCCAAACAAGTACAGCAGAACAACTTTTGCTTATTAAGGAAATAGAAATGAAAAAACCCAACAAAGTGAAAGTGGACTGAAGCCCTCTGGTTAGTTAGTCCAGTCTGTTCTGTTTTTTTCTACAGTCTCCCTCTTCCAAAGAAAAGGCACTGAGAAAAAGTTGTAGGGAATGTATTCAGACCTGTTTGCTTACACACCTGCTTTGCAACATTGGGTGCTCAGGGTCACTATCTTGACTGAGGGAGTGTGAGGAGATAGTAGCCAAGGTAGGGAGTGCCAGTGACTCAGTCCTAATGCTTCCTTCTTGTCCACATGTCTTTCAGTCTGCTTCTTTCTCTGCAACCAGCCATCTTTGTGGACTGGTGTGGAGGGTTGTGGAAGGAAAAAGGCCACAGCTTTGCCAAATGAATGCTTCCTCCTGCACGTACATGTTCACAGCAGAGCAGCTGGACAGGGGCTGAACCACTCATCACATTTCTGATGCAGGCAGACTGAGTGCACTCAGAGCAAGAGGTGCTTTCCCCCATTGTTTGTTTGTGTCACAGTATTAGTGAAAATCTGTCCCTTGTGTTGAATCATTTCCCAAAGGAAGTATAGTGACTTTTTTTTTTTGTATATCCTCCTTGCAGAGTCGATGAGAAAAACCAGAACCCGGAGTGTTATTTTCAATGGGAAAACAATAGGAGGGAAGTTAGGTAAATGAAAAGGAGGAAGGATGGACTGAGGAAAGGGAAAAGACAACACAAGCAAGAGGAGAAAGAAATGTAAGTAAGGAAACCTGTATCTTAACTCCAAAATACCAAGGGAGCATTTAATTATCTTGTCTTTATCAGTCTCTGCATATTGGTGCAATCACTGTATTTCACTTCTGCCATTGGTACTCTACAGCTTATAGGTGAACTCAGCTATTCTACATGAGAAAAGTAAAATAGGAAACAGGACTGCATTATGAGAGAAATTATTTTATTCAGTGAGTTAATGAAGGGAAAGAGGGAAAAGAGCTTCACTGCTTTAATTTATGCCTTTTGAGCTATATCAATTTGGAGCTTTGCCTCAACAGAGAGCTTCAAGGTGGTGAAAAAGGGGAATGTTACTGCCCTCCATAGTACAGAAATCATAGATCTGTTTCCTTTGATGGGATGTTGAAATACATTTTAGAAATAATGTTCAAATTAAAAAAAAATAAAAATTTGTATATACTTCAGATTTCTAAAAGTTAAACTTATATAGAGACCGTTGTCATAATTTTGTTCACTTGTCTAATTCAGCCTCAGGTACTCCTGTAGTTTCAAATCTGACCTGAACAGTTGTGAAAAACTTGAGAAAAAAACATTCAAGTTTTATTTACTTCTGGAGTCCCAAGGGGAAAAAAAAATTGTCTATATTTTCAAAGTTAAAAAATGTAATGCATACATTGCTTACAGCAGTATTTCACCCACAGTTTTTAGCTGGGTTTATTTGTCAGAGAGGCAACTGTTAAATGAAAAAATAATAAGGTAAAGAATAAAGCTGTTTTCTTTGTAGCATGAGGGCATTTGAAATTTTTGAAATTTGCTAAAACATGATTCTAACCAGAAATGGCATTTGCTAATAGCCCAGAGGATTTTGGCCAGTATCTTGTTGTGTTTCATAGACATCTGGAGTGGTCACAGCCAAGGAAGAGGCTCAACCCTGAGGCTGTTTACTTTCAACTCTGGCAGAGCATTGGTCAGCTATTTAGTTCTTTGTACCGTCCCTGTTAGAGATATATTTCAATGTGTTGCTGTGGATGTATAAACTCATAGCAGGAGTGGCTGGAGGGGTCATTGTGATTATCTGTTCTGGACCTCTTTGGGGCTTATTTCTGTTTTATGCTGAGTGTTTATCATAAAACATATAAATGGTCTTGGGAAGATGAGGTAAGGGTACGTCACTGGGCTTTGGAGAACACATCTGCATGATGTGCAGCACAAACCCCTTTTCAGCTGTTCGACCAGCATGCAGCCACTATGAGTCCTGCAAAGCTACACTGATGTACAGTTAACTTAAAAAAAACCACAAAACCCCATTCTTTAAAAACAAATACTTATCTGCTTGTCTTATTTTTTCACATCTTCATCTCCAAGGCTCTTATTTTTGGAGTCCTGTCTACTAATAACTCATTCTAATCCATGTTGTGGTTTTTGCTTTGGATAAAACTGCTTTTCCCCACAGGCTAATATTGATTGACAGCTTTCTCATCTCTAAATACTCCAAGTGCTATAACCATTTTTGCTTTGTACAGTCACATGCCGTGCTGTAAATACATCATGCACAAAATGTTAATTTATGCAACTGCTTTACCCGATATTTCTTTGCTCTGCATAAGTGACTTCGGCAAAATTAATGATATTAAGTATTAAATTTATATTAATATTTTGGCAGTGCATTTTGGAATTTACTGCATTTTTAGAGATATCTGTCTTTAAAAAGAGAAAATTCTACCCCTGTATTAAAACACTGTGTTTCAAGACTGGCTGCGAAGGCACGAATTATGCATCATATCTTCCCTGTGCCAGATTAGAAAATAATGGTTTCCCTCTTATTTGAGTAGTTATAACTGGAGAACTAAATGAATACAAAATTTAACTTTTAATTTGGTTTCAAAAATTCAGCCATTAGTTTTTGAGGCTGAAGGAAGTATATAGGGGTATTTCTCCCCATTTACTACTACATATTGAATAAGTTGTGACCTACAGGACTTCCTGAGCCTTTTAAATACAGGTCGGATTTTTTCTTCCATTAAATTGTCCAGCTGATCTTTATGCATTTATGGTTTTGATATTCAGAATATATTGTATTAAGAAATCCTATGATTTAACATTTGCAGTATGCAAATTCACCTCCTATTTTTAAAAACTTCTTTGAGTAATAATACAACTTGATACCCCCTCAAATTATATAATGAAACAAGATTTTGGGAAAAGAAGAACTGTCACAGAAACATTAAAAGGCATGTATTTTATTTAGGTGCTATTAATGGAGAATTGTCACTGAGACAGCTTTTGTCAAAGTAGTGTTCAACTTTTAAATATTGCATAGTGAGCTGCCTGGATAATAGATTGAAGACTGCTTTGAGCATATTTTAGTGAGCGTATTTCCTGTATACATGACATGCCTCACAACCATTCCTCAATCTCTGCTTTTCTCCTCTTTAGAAAATTAGAAAGCTTCTTTTTAAATGGTTTATCTCTGTATTGTGAGAGAAATGTGGTCAGATGTGGCTGTCAAAAGTCCCATAGAGAACCATTACTTTATGGTAATCTTCATCAGGTGCTATTTATTTCAACTCCTTAAATATTTAAATAAATTTAGATACTTACATTTAAATATCCTTTAGCCTTCGTTTCCTCTTCTGAAAGATGTGCTCCTACTACCTTGTAATTAGCCTTTTTATTTATGAAAAATTACATCAGGACACTTTTGATTTTAAATGAAATAGTGAAAATAGCCATTGAATATTTCTGCTTTGTACTTATATACTTAAACTATGATTTTGTACTGTACTTATAGTGAGTCTTTTTTGATTTTCAAAGCATGAAAAAGAGTCTGACATAATAATTTGTGATACTCTTCCTGGTTTTCTTGTGTATTGGAATAATTGTTATGTTAAAACATAACTGTTTTTATGTTATCTTTTTAAACTGCCAGTTTGATGCACCATTGCTTCCCTTTTGGATTTTTTTTTAAATGCAAAAAATTATAGAGAGAATGTAGGTCACATGTCACAACAACTGCTTCCACGTCCCTGCTTAGACCTGAATCTGCAGAGGAAAATCATACTGTTTGCTCTGAAAAAAACAGTTTAAAAACTGAAATGAGAACAGACAGAAACAAATGTTTCTCAAGTTTTCTTTAATTATTGTAACTCATGGATATCACACTAGTAGCAACAACATTTGCTGGCAGGCTCAATATTTGCAACAGCTGTGCATGGAGCACTGGAGGTTATGTGCCTGCCTGTGTCTCAGAAAGTTGCGGCCTATACATATTTTTTAACTAAGGAATCAATAAAACTGTCCTGACTCTATTACCAATTTTACAGAAAAAAATGGGGACATTCCTTCAACCTATAAATTGATACAAATTCCATGACCCACTTTCTGAGGCTTTCTTAATATTTCTACAAATCCATCTCCTCCTAAATCTAGTTAGTGCCTATTGACTGGTAGTCCTTATTTTGCTATGTGATCCTACCTGGAAATCCCATACTAAGCATGTACTTTGGATTTATTGTGTGTGGATGACAGCCATGTGGTGAAACTCTTAGCAAAAATCAGTAAAAATAAAACTCCCTAACACCAATATAGCAGTACAAAGCAGGTGTTCTTTGGTCGGATGCAGGAGGGTGTATCTTCCCTGAAAGCTGTGCATACTTATCTTAGAAAAAGCTCCTGTTTATATACTGTAATTTACATCTGCATACATTGATTTTCCTGGAATAAACATGTGTATAATAAACATTTTCCCCAAATCATTAACATGTGTTTTCTCCCCTCTGCTTATGTTCTTCTGTACTGCAGATCTCTCTAGTGGTCACCAACCCCAAAGTCACACCTGACCGCCTGGTGAACTGGCAAAAGTTGGCACAACTGAGCTGGTTGCTCTCCTGTTCTCCTTCCTGCAGAATAAGCATTCAGTGGTTCCACAGGCCAGTGGTTTTTAAAGAATAAGCATTGTGTTAGCCCACCAGGTGCACACAATTTTTCATCAACAAAACTCTTTTAAGACAGGCATGTGATTATCTCAGATGAGGCTGAAATGAGACTATATTCAATATAAACAAGTCACAGTCTTGCAAAACGAGTTGCTGTTCAATAGGTAATGTAATATAGTTTCAGTAGTGTTTCCCACTTTTTAAGCATAGTTCTGTATGTTAATATCCTTCAGAGGACAAAAATATCTCTTGTTATTCACCTGACACTCTCATTAGCCTTTGACTTCGAAGCAGTTCTGAAGAAAGGAAGGAGGAACAAGCTAAGTAGCTTAACATTTTAAATCTAATTTACTTTATGATAATAATGACATTTATTTCCAAAACAAAATTACTTAGCACACAGGGGCAAAGAGGATTACAGGTCTGCTGGGGTGTTAGCATAAATCCCAAAGTGTGGTAACTAAATGCATTTGTAATTCTAGTTCCTGACAAAGACTGCTGATATCATGACATAGCATTAAAATAGCAAACCCTCTGGGCTAAGGAGCCAGGTTTAAATCTGGGATATTTATACTTGAAAAAGTAATACCCAGTTAAGTGTGTCCCGCTCCAGGTGAGGACGGTGAATTCTTAAACATCACTCAGGCAGTCAGTCACTAAGAGACCAAACATACCCAAAAAAGGTTTTAATTCCTACACAGAGGAGCTTCAGTACTATTTTTTGCCTTAGAACACAGTGATAGTATGAAGAGCTGGATGCAAGATATCATTCCCCTCCCATTAAACTTTATATGACAGAGCTTATGTTTTCTTAGAGCTTTTCAGTTCTCTCAATGGAAAATTTTTTCTAATGTTTTCTAATTTTTTCTTCACTGTGAATGCAAAGGGATCCTTACTGCTTTTCTAGAATCTATCTGATCCAAAAATATTACATGCATAAAAAGTTAAGCTTAAAAGAAAACTATTTAACTATAGAAAGATTTGGCATCTCTGAAAGAGCTCTCTGTACTTAAGATCAGGAAACATACAGTGTTCAGATAAAACAGGCTTCATCTTAAAAGGTCTGCTCCAAGTGCATATTTTGAGTTTTGGTGAGTTCAAAGCCTGCTGGGCTAGCTTTCTGAATTATAGGGAGGTTAAAAGTTTCATCACAGGCTGATGATTCTGCTTCTCTGCTTCCACAGAGTTCAGCAAATCAGCAGAACTGTGCATGAAGTCCAGTCCAGCAGAGCCCCTGATCACTCAAAATGCAGTGTTCAGCTGCTCAGCATGACTCTTCTCGCTGCAGTGTTGCCACACTCCCTGATTTTTCAGGGTTGGAGTGCTACAGAATTAGATCCTTTCAGTGATTAGCTCTTTCATCAGTCTTTGCAATGATACTGAACATTGTGCTTAAAAATTTCTAGGTAAAGGAAGAACGGATTTTTATGTTTTCATTGGATTGTGACAGAAGTATGGCCTATTTTTATTTCCTGCACCATACACCAATCTTAGCTTTAAAATAGGATACGTAAGTCTAAGCAATTATCTACAGCAAAGAGATTGATCAATATCAGTAAATCAAGGATTTTTAATGTCTTTTGTGATTCAGGAATGAGAAATTATATTGCCGCTGCTAGGACCTATTAAAGTTTTATTTATATGTATTTGGTTTTCTTTTACTCATTGGAAAGGGAAAGTAAGTTTTGTGAAAAAATTATAACAGGAAAACTGCTTCTTTTTAGTCAAATATAGAATTGAAGATATAGGGGAGATAAATGGCTCCAATACTTTAAAAATCTTTCCATTGCTAACCATTGGTGTGAATCAAAGACTGCAGGGTCAGACTATGCACAACAGAAACCCAACTTGGAATGTCTGATGCGATGCTCCATTTCTCCCTGCTCTGCAAACAGCTCAGTTTCTCAAAAGCCAGACCTTAAGTCACCATTGCTGAAAGCACAACATTGAAAAGGAACCATAATTACCCCCACAGGTGCAGCTGTCAGGCATTTGTGCCACTGGTAGGGGATGGGCAGATGACAGGAGGACCTTTCTAAACAGTCTTAACTTGGGGGGTCCCCTGGTTACAAGTCAGGATCCAGAGCAGCAGTTTTATACAGTGGTTGTTTAGCAGAATAAATAAATTAACAGAATAGAGTATATTTTCTTGTCAATTGTGACTGTGATACCTGATGTGCTAGTAGGAGCCCTACACCAATGGAAAGCTGTAGGGAAGGAAGGCAGGTTTAGAAAGAGGAGAGTTAAAATGCATGACACTTTTATGACTGGTCTGCCATGTATGGTCTCTTGGGAAAGCCAGGAGTTAATAAAATATATGCATAATGCTTCTCATACTGTAGTATTTATAAAGTTTTTGGCAGGCCTGAAGCTGTTAGTGAATTATGGGAAGGTCCCTTAAGATGGAAAGATATGGTTCATTCGTTTATTACTTACACCATCTGGGAACTCCTGGTTTTTGTGGGTTGAGCTAGATGACAAAAGTTATTAAGTATTTTCTTTGATGTCATAATTATTTTTGGTAGGAAATGTAAGAGTTCAGCAAAATTATTGCTGTGGATGGAAAGAGCAAAATCATAGCATTCTAATCTGCATCTCTTTAATGCTAGTAAGATAGTTTAAACTTGTAATGACTTTCAATTTGCCATTAAGTATAATGGCAAAAATAATAATAAAAAAGATGATCTGATAGGATTGGTTAGGTAAAGACAAAATTGTGAAGGCATGCAAGTCTTATTCCAGGCCCTTAAATAGGCCCTGACAACACAGCCAGAAACATGCAATCTCACCTGTTCATGGACTCATTGAATCATAAAATGGCTTGGGTTGGAAGGGACCTCAAAGCTCATCCAATTCTATTCCATTACCCCAGGTTGCTCAGAGCACCATCCAGCCTGGCCTAGAATGCCTCCAGGGATGGGGCAGCCACAGCTTCTCTGGGCAAGCTGTGCCACAGTCTCACCATGCTCACACTAAAGAACTGCTTCCTGATATCCAAGACCAACTTTCTCTTATAGCAAACAGAATTTAAAGCTCATTGAAGTAATTTTGTTCACTGAAATGTAATGAGAAGCAAAACTGTAAGGACAGTTATTTAGAGATTTATGTTTTGATGGATGAAAACGCTTGCTATTTTTAATGCTTTGCTAAATTATGCTTGAGAAATTAATGACTAAGGAATTCACCAATAGCATTCTAGTTAAGTTTTTAGTTAGCACACTATATTATAATGTTTAAGACCTATAAATTCACATTTTTAATACTGTCACAAAACTGGGTCAGCAATTTGAAAAAGAAATATAACTTGTCTTTTTAATACTTTTCTTACAAAAATTAAGAATGCTTGCAAATGGGCAATCTAATCAAGTCATATTTTCAAAAATCTGTAGAACATATTAAGATCTTTCTAGAAACAAGTGATTTGTGGCATATACCTAATCATATTTATGTGCCAAGGCTAAAAATTTAAATATGATATATATAGTCAAGATTCTCAAATTCTTTGATGCTTGAGGAAAATACATCACAAACTCCTCAAAATCAGGTTATACTTACCTATACTACTATACTTTAATATATTTTTCAATATGTGAACTGGGTAATTAAAGGGAAGCAAAAGTTCAAAATTAATTTTCATTTTACCTATGTAATGGAATGGTTGACAACATTAACAGAAGTACTGCTATCTGTAAATGGTACTTAGTATTAACAATCAAACTACTTGGTTTCAGTCCCCTTTTCAATGATTGGTTTTCCTAGACCATTTTTGCTTCTCCTGAAGCAAATATGAAAATAACAGAGCAGGGCTTGGGGTATTTATTTTTTCATTGTAGAAGTAGCAAATTACTGTTTGAAATATATTTATTGTTTCCATAGCTCAAATCACCAGAGATCACATGCAAATATTCATTCCTTCTGTCCAAGTCAGTAATTGGTTCCAGTGTTTTGTCAGCTGAAATAAGAACTAATATTTTGATGTAAATTCTTAAATATGTGTTCTATTCTGCCAAAATACAGGAGATTGGAAAACACCACAACTTTAACTGAGGTGACAGTCAAGGGATACTCATGGAGACTCTTCAATATTTAATGCCACTTATGGCAGAAAGGAAGATGAAAACAAACACTAGACTTGACTGATGTAGTTAGTGGGACACCATTTGTCACTGGAATTCACAGGTCTAGCTTACTTCTTCATTTTATCCTCATACAAAATTTCACAAGGAGTGTATTTTCCTGTTGCTAACTGGGAGAAGACACACATTGTGTCTACAAAAAGCCACGTTGATGAAGAAGATTGCTGCCCACCAGCCTTGCCCCATTTTCTTAGGTTCCATGTGTCAGAGTCACTGAGGAACTATTTGTGTGTTCATCACACAAGCGTTTGGGAAGAGGTGACACAAGGCTGAGGGCAAGGCAGTATTTGAGTTCTGGGAAAAACAGTTCCACTGCAGCCTTCACATTGCAACCACTGGTGGGGACATCCTCTGCTTAGGTCTTTTCTTATGCACAGAAATGGCAGGGATTGAGTTCAGCTTAAGCTGAATTCTTTCTTGAAAGATGATGTGCCTGAATTACATTGTCATTAAAAAGCTACAACTGAGTGGCACATCAATTTAAAGGATTAACCTGAGCATGTAACTGTAAATTTAAAAAAAAGAAAGTAAGGCACAAAATCAAAATGAGGCAGAGTGTATTGCAGAGGCTGAAAAGTAATAATACTGAAAAGTATTTACAATAATACTGAAAAGTATTGTAAACTCATGTGTGGGGCCTACAAAGAAATTTATAATTCAGCAATTTAACTAAGGTGAAAGGAAATAAAGGAGAAACAGGGAAGGTTGGAGCATTCTTCTCTCTCTTTTGCTTCTTTCTTCACAGAAAGACAATTTGAGCTTATTTATGATTGTTGCCTGAACAAAACATAGCTTTAGCTAGGAGTCAAATAAGTGGCAAGAAAATGGGAGAAAGAGTCTTGAAAGAATACCAAATGAGTTATGTGCATTTCAGTCTGTGAACCCCACC